CTGGGATAGACAGGGCTGGGATAGACAGGGATGGACTGGGATAGACAGGGCTGGGATAGACAGGGATGGACTGGGATAGACAGGGCTGGACAGGGCTGGAAACCTGGGCTGGGATAGAGAGCCAGGGATGGACTGGGATAGAGAGCCAGGGATGGACTGGGATAGACAGGGATGGACTGGCATAGACAGAGCCAGAGAGCCTGGGCTGGACTGGGATGGGAAACCTGGGCTGGACTGGGATAGACGGGGCTGGGATAGACAGGGATGGACTGGGATAGACAGGGCTGGAAACCTGGGCTGGACTGGGATAGAGAGCCAGGGATGGACTGGGATAGACAGGGACGGACTGGGATAGACAGAGCCAGAGAGCCTGGGCTGGACTGGGATGGGAAACCTGGGCTGGGCTGGGATAGAGAGCCTGGGCTGGACAGGGATAGACAGGGCTGGACTGGGATAGACAGGGGTGGACAGGGAAGGTCTCTCTGGAGCTGGGGAAGGAGGGTCAGCACTGCAGGAAGGGAGGAAGAGAGCAGAGCAATGTGGGGAGGAGGAGGAGGAGGCGTCTGCCCTGAGAGGGAGGTGAGGAGGAGCAGAGGCACCGGCTGCAGGGAGGGCTGCAGACACCAGCAGGGCAGAGGGAATACTGTGGCTGCAGGCTTGAGAGAGAGAGGCAGGAGCTGTGTCTGCAGGGGCAGGAAAACCTTGGTGTGAACGTGCTTCCCCTTGCCCCTGCCTGCAGCAGCTGCTCAGGCCCCGGGCGCAGCCACGGTGATCTCACAGCAGATCCGAGCAGGCTGAGCTCCCTGGGCTCACACTGCAGCCCAGGAACAGCTCCAGTGGGAATGGGGAACAGGATTGGCCCCGTTTCATTTTGGGAATGGGGCTGGACTGAGGCTGCTGCAGCAAGGACAGGTCATGCACTGCACATTTACAGTAATTGTTCTTCCTGTTCACCAAGGACTTGTCATTTTGTACAACGTGACACAGCACAGGCTGTGAGAAATGGGGGAAATCAGGCATTTTGGTGTTAAAAGTTCACTCTAAACCCAAGATGGAACGAGCGAAAGGCAGCAGCTACTCACAGTGGTGTGATCTGCCCCGTTTGCTCCCACACCCTTCCCTCTTTCTCAGACCTTAAGGGATGCCTTGGAATCTTTGGGAAACTTCTGTCCTTCCCTTTTTTCCTACCCCAGATGACAGAGCATTCCCGGTGCAGCTGAAATGCGAGCTGCTCAGGCTTTCCCAAGAAGGGCTGGGGGAGTGCCTTGGGTTTTTAGCTTGGCTGCGTGGGTGTGCATAATGAACCGGAATTCTGCTGTGCTTGGCTACCTCGGGGACTCGTTTTAATCACCGGGCAAATGTGCTGTGTGTAGGAGAAGCGCTTAATTCCGTGAGATGAGCCGCATTGTGCGGGGTGCTGGGCTGTGATTGGGAAATGCCCGGCGGTGGGAAGCGGGAGGCAGAGCCTGGCAGCCCCGGGTGCCTGGGAGCAAACCCCTCCTCTGCTCCGGGGCTGCGAGGAGCCGCGGGAGGAGGAGGAGGCGGCTGGGGATGCTCCGAATTTGGGGTTGGGCAGCGCACCTGGAGAAGGGCAGCGCTGTGAAATGTTTGAGTTCAAAGGGACCTCAGAGCCCACCCAGTGCCACCCTCAGGGACACCTCCCCCTGTCCCAGGTGCTCCCAGCCCTGTCCAGCCTGGCCTTGGGCACTGCCAGGGATCCAGGGGCAGCCACGGCCTGCCCGCCCTCACAGCCAAGAATTTTTTCCTAACATAAAATGCAACCCTGCCCTTTTTCAGTTTGAATCCGTTCCCCCTCATCCTGTCAATTAAAACCCAAAAGTCAGGGTGTGGGGGGTACGGAGTGGCAAATAGCTGGGGCTGGAGGAGAAGGAATGGTTGGAGAATGTGAACAACAAACCTGCCAGAGCAGGCTCGGGTGCCAAGGGAGAAGCATTTGGCTGAGGAGGAGAGTTTGTGAAGCTGCTGCTGAAGGAAGTGTGAGAAGGAACGCTTGGAAAGCCGCTGCCTCGGTGATTTTCCAGCAGAGCCACACTGGCAGCAAAGCAGCTCCAGCCTTCAGAGCTTGGGAGCTGTTCAGATCTGCCGGATGCACCCTTTCACCGTGGAATGGGCTGGGAGGAATTGGAAAGATTATCTCTCTCTAATGCCCTGCCATGGGCAGGAACATCCTCTATTTGTGCCCCAAAAAGCTCTGGTTGCCGTGTGAGACAGAAGTCTCCCCTGATGGTGGTTTTTGCTATCCTAAGATCTCAGGGTTGTATGAAAATATGTAATATGACCCAAATCTCTTCTTTCCTTCAACTGTGATTTTGGTAACCTGCATTATTAAAAGTAATCTGTACATTCACACAGAGTTTATATGAGCACGTCCCTCCCCTGTATGAGCACCTGGCTGTGTGCTGGGGAGGCAGAGCCCCCCGGAGCCCCTTCCCCAGCACAGCAGTGCTGTGTGAGCTCTCCTCCAGCCCTCCTGCGCCTGCAGCGCTGGGGAGCCACAAGGTTTGCCAAAGCAGGTTTGATTCAGCTGCTGTTCCCTGACACCGTCTGTGGCTCTCTGTAAATCACTAACAGATAATAATTTCATACTCTGGCTCTGCCTATCCCCCGCCTGCTGAATAATTACCTTGTTTTGTGCAGGCCGTGAGAGGTTTTCACAGATAATTCATCCAGCAGGGAAAGGCAGCCAGATTTTGGGCTGGAGCACATTTTCTGGCCACCTGGCATTGCTGCACAGAGGTCTGCAGCTGCCTCCGGAGGGAAATGTATCCAGGACAGCCGAGGGCAGGGCGAGAAACCAAACCCAGATGAAATCCCAGCCGCCCTTCCTCGGAGAATAATTTAGCTTGGCAAACTCAGCCCACCCTGGGTTTCTGGATGTGTGGACAGATTGATCCCGCAGACCTGGATGCTGTGGCTCACAGAGGAGCTGTTTCACCGGCAGCAGAGCTCCTCCCAGGAGCTGCTTGTGGTGGTGACCCCGGTCTTGCCTCGCTCCCCGTGTCCTGCCTGGCCCTGGCTGGGTGGGTTGGAGCCCAGCACGGAGCTCAGATCACCCCGAGGCTGCCATGCCCATCCCAGGAGGGGAAAAGCTGATCCTCCCTGTGGAGGATCCCAGCTCAGCACCCTCCCAAACCACCCCGCAGACTGAGATGGGGTTCTCCAGGTGGGATGTGGAAGGTGGCTCCCAAATCCTCTCACTCCACTAAACACCAAGCCCAGCTAATATTTTGCCACCCATGTATCACATTTGGGGAGTTTCCTGCAAGGTGCCTCTCCCAAGGGAAACCTTCAATGCAGAGCTTCAGGCCAGCTTTGCTTCCAATAAACAGCAGGGTTCAGAGCGCCTGTGCTCTGCTGTGCTCTGCAAAACCTGGAGCCTCTCTGAGGTTTGGGTGTCCAGGGAAGTCTGGAGGTCACAGCTCAGCTGGGCTGGGAGCCAGAACCTACATCTGGCTCTGCAAACTGAAAACCTCCCTTCAGGTATGTCCTTTCTTATTTTTCCCTTTTTCAAATGTAATAAATAGATAGTTTTTTAAGTTCCCAGCCATCTGAACTACCCACGCTCAGGGCTGCAATATGCCTAATGCCATGAATGCTGAATTTCAGTAAATGCTTCCTGGGGATACAAAACTTCCAGCTCTCAAAGCCACCTCTGTGTTCAGCAGCAAATTCAGGACAGCACCTATCCAAAGGGAGCCTGAAAGTCACGGTTCCCTGAAAGTCAAAGCATGTTTTATTGACTGCAGTCAAGAGAATCAAAGATCTGGAGACCTGGACTCCCACGGAATAAACCACATTATTCCTGTGCAGTGATCATTCCTCTCCCAGACATGAATTCCAGCCAGCCTCCCTGCTGGGAATGATTAAAGACCCCTTCAACAATCAGCCAATTGACAAATAAGCAGGTGAACAAGTGAAGGAAAACAAGGGGATATGATGGCCTGCCAGCACTGATGAGAGCAGTTGTGTCACCTGGAGGGAAGTGCAGCTCCCTAGGTGCTGCCAGTGGTTTGCTGTACAAAACTGGGGTGTAGCTGTGGGGGATGTCACTTCTCAGCTATCAAAACCCCATCTGGGGGAAGGCAGAGCCTGTGCAGATGCAGCTACAAGTCGGGGATGACATTTCCCTTCCTCCAGGTTTCCCTTCCCAGCTCCTGCTGCTGACTGGGCTCTGGAGCTGGGGGCAGAGCCTGGCAGTGCCCAGCTCCATCCCCGGGGGGACACCACCAGAACGGCACCAGAGCCCCCACAATGAACCTGCAAACTCTGCTGGCCTGTGGCCTGGACACCCCAAGAACAGCCCCAGACCCTCAGCTCGTGGTCAGGCTTCTCCATGCCTCTGAAGTTTTGGGGAGAAGCTCTGGAGCAAGAAAAGATGGAAGGAGCAGGACAGCTCTGGGGTGTGACCAGCTCAGGAGCACCCCAAAACCCCCTGTGCACCCCGCACAAAAAGGTGGGACACTGCCAGGACCAGGGCAGGGAGAGCTTCCCACCCTGTTTTGGTATCCCTGTGCTCTGATCCTGCTCTCCAGGGTGGCTTGAGCCCAAAATTAGAGCACCCAGCCGAGCCACTGCCAACAAGGGGAGCAGCCCCAGAGAGTGAGGGGCCTGGCTGGTGGCACTGGCAAACACCCTGGTGACAAAGTCCCCACTGCAGGCACTGTGGCATGGAGGCCTTCCCCCTCCCCAGCACCCCATGCCAGGAATTTCTCATCTCAGCAGAAATCCCCGGGGTTGTTTGTGCTCCACCTCAGAGCTGGAAGAGCCGCTCCCCTCGCCCCGGGTGTCTGGGATGGCTCTGAGAGCCAGCTGGCTCTGCCAGGTGGGAATGTCCCCTCCCCAGGAAACCCCTAGGGTCCCACTGGACCAAAAAGCCAGGCTGGGGCCAGGGATTTTTACAGGATGTGTGCCTGGGGCTCGGGGGGCACAGCTGTGTGGACAGCAATTGAATCCCTCCTGTAGAAGCCATCCAGTGTTTTTCCAGCGTCTTTATTGGCAAGCCCAGTGCTGAGTGCCCGTCCTGCCCTGTGTCCAGCACCGAGTGTGGCTGTCCCACCGTGCCCCCAGCTTCCCGATGGCTCCACTGAGGGGCCTGCTCCAGGGCTGAGTGCTGAGAAAGCCGCCCAGGGCTCTCCCTGCACAGCCAGGTGGCTCAGGCCAGGATGGGGTAGGTGGCCTCGGTGGCCACCCCACAGTTGTTGTCCTTCATGGCCATGAGGATGTAGCCGTCGTTGCCCCAGTAGGTGGACCAGGAGTTCTTGATGAGCCAGTAGGTCTCTCCCTGCAGGACCCCGTAGCCCACGGCCAGCACCGCGTGGTCCAGAGACCCCGGCGTGTTGTCTGCAGGGAGTGACACACAGAGGGCTCAGCACCCCTGCCTGGTGTCCAGAGAGCCTCCCTTTCCAGAGACCATTCCTTTCCCGAGACCATCCCTGCCTGGAGAAGATCCCTGCCCAGTAATCCCTGTCCAGAGGACATCCCAGTGACAGCATCCCTGCTCCCAGGGCTACCCTCGGTGCTGCAGGGGACTTCAGGGCTCATCCCCTCCAACCCCCCTTGATCAAAACCATGGTTCCTGGGTGCCCTGGCATCTCCTCAGGCACCCAGGCCCTCCTGTGCCCCATGTGCTGCTTGTCTCACCGCACTTGGGCTCGTAGTAGACGCCGTTGGAGTAGAAGGAGAAGCTCTTGTGCGAGGCGTCGATGCTGACGGCCACGGGGCCGTGCTTGTAGATGGCAGCTTTGACTGCAGTGACGTTGCCCGAGGTGACGTTGACGTAACCCGTGATGTTGGCCAGCATCTCAGACTGGTTGTAGTGGCACAAGCCATTCTACACACCCAGGAGACACACACTGTCATCAGAATCCCTGGCTGGGACCTGCCCCCCCTGCCTGACCCCGCGGATGCAGGCAGAATCTGGATCTGCAGGAATTTGGATCAGATCTGGATCTGATCTGGAATTTGGGCTGTGAGAGCCCCAGGCTCTGACCCCACGCTCCTCCCAAGCCCAGGGTGCTGGGGGTGTTTCCCAGTTGCTCAAGGACACAAGGAGGGGAGCTGGCTCTGCACCCAAAGCCCTGGACGCTGTTGCCTGCGTCTTGCTGCCACAGCCCCATCCCCAGGCAGCTTTGCTCCATCCCTGGGTACCCCGGGCATAGAGTGACTCATGGCACCACGCACAGGTGGAGGAGCCTCGTCCCTGTTTTGCAAGAAGAGAAACTGAGGAACACGGTGACAAAACAGCCGGGATGAGCCCTGGGGCTTGGCTTTGACAGGACTGTGAACCACGGCAGCCTCGTGCCTTGGGGACGAGGTGACATCCTCATCTCAAGAGCCTGTTAGTGCCTCTGACACATCCAGGGGGGTCCCACCATGGCTTTAAAGCCCCAGGATGTTGGGAAGGCCACAGGGACAAGGGCCTCCTCACCTGCCCCTTGTAGGTGCCGTAGGACTCGGTGCTGGCAATGCCCCCGTGCTTTTTGATCCACTCGTACGCCCGCCACTCCTCGCCCCCGTCGCAGGCGTAGTTCCCAAAGCCCCAGGAGCAGTCAATGAGGACTTGCTGGGACAGGGGGGTCAGCACGCCGGTCTGCAGGGGGACACAGCTCAGGGATGGGGACAGGCACCCTGCCAGCACCCCATCCGCTCCGTGGGGCACAGCCCTGCTCCCACCTTGAGGAAGAGGGCGCCTTCCATGGCTCCCGTTGTAGCAAAGCTCCAGCACGACCCACAGACAGCCTGATCCTTCACGGGGGTGACAGCGCCTGGGGACAACGGGGCACGGGAGGAGAAACTGGGTTGGCACTGAGGGATGGAGGCAGGTGGAAGGGAAACTGAGGCACGAGGTGAGGTCCTGAGGCAGCACAGCCAGGTCTCGGTGCTAATTGAGAAGGGGGGAAATGCACTAGCAAATCTGGGACCCCCACCCTGGGCTAGGGGCAAGCTCTGAGGGTGTCACTCCCAGCTGATGGGGACATGGGTGAAGCCAGATGTTGCTTCCGATGTCACATCTGTCCCTGGGGCATCAGAGTGAATTCAGGGCCAAGTGCTGACCCAGCTGCCTTTAGTCACAGAGGCACAGAATGGTTTTGGTTGAAGGGACCTCAAACACCACCCGTTCCACCCCTGCCGTGGGCAGGAACACCTTCCACCGCCCCAGGTTGCTCCAAGCCCTGTCACCCTGGCCTTGGCCAACCCCAGGTTCTCAGTACAGCCCGTTCCAGTGCCTCACCAACCTCACAGCTGTGCAGCCCAGGGACAGCACAGTCCCACAGGCCCCTCAGTGTAGTGATGGGGAGCACAGGCTTGGCTGAGGAGCACTGAGCCCCAAAGCACCCCGCTGTCCCCCGACCCCACACGCACCGTACATGCGCCAGTCCAGGCTCTCGGGCAGGATGATGCCGGCGTAGAGCTCGGTGGGGAAGGGCAGCCCACGGTTGGGGGTGCCGCTGCGCCGGCGGCCCCGCAGCGCTGCCAGCTCCTGCGGCGTGCGGTCGGCCAGGTGGTTCAGGGACAGCGTGTAGGACAGCGCGGCGCGGTTCCGCGAGTGCACAAACCTGCCGCCACGGCAGAGACAGCGCCAGCTGGCACTGCCGCACCCCTAGGGCGCCAGCAGCACCCCCAGAGGGCCGGCACCCCCCCGCCTGTACCTCATGTTGTGCACGAAGATGCTCTGCCTGTGCTCCAGCTCCCGCGCGGAGCCGTAGTGCCGCCCCATCTGCCGGCGGTAGTCGTGGAACACCCGGTGTGCCCAGGGCGGCTGCTGGCCCACCAGGTCCTCCATGGGGTTTGCCAGCACGCGGTGCTCCGCCACGCTGCCCGGCAGCACCCCGCACTTGGTCTCTGGGGAGTGAGAGAGGAGCTGTCAGCCCGAGCCCCACAGGTGTAGCTATGATATTTTATGAAAAATCCTTTCTTAGGATTTTTTCCGTCCTGAGGAGCTGAGAGCCTCAGGAAAGAAATGTAAACAATAACTAGGTGCTGCTGTGGAATGCAACAGGTGCATCTTCCATTGGTCCATGTGGATTGTTTTCAATTGATAACCAATCACAGCCACCTGTGCCAAGGCTGTGAGCAGTCACAGGATTCTGTTATGCATTCTATTCTATTCTATTCTATTCTATTCTATTCTGTTCTGTTCTTGTTCTTTGTAGCCTTCTGGTCCTTCCTCTCTCTCTGTTCTTTTAGTATAGTTTTAATATATATATTTTAATATATATATTTTAATATAATATATAACATAATATAATATATAACATAATAAATCAGCCTTCTGAAAAAAATGGAGTCAAGCCTCGTGTCCTCACACATGAGATGTTCGCCACAACACACGGGCAGGATGGGGGCCCTCCCTGCTCACCGTTCACGGGGAGGTCGAAGACCGAGGGCGGGTAGCTGTTGTCGAAGTCCGTGTAGGCGATTTCGTACTTGTCGTAGTGGGAGCCCAGCAGGCTGTTGTAGCCCCGCATCTCGTAGTGCACGGGGGCCACCCCACAGCTGGAGTTGGTCACCCACAGCGTGTAGACGTTCTTCTTCTGCTCCCAGCGGGTGACGTTCTGCCACACGGCGCAGTACCGGCCCTCGTAGTACTCCTCCCGCAGGAACTGGGGGGACACGGCCTCAGGAAGGGGACCCCAACATCCCCCCGGCCACCTCCAACCTCCCCCAGGCCACCTGCTGCCCACCCAGCCCCTCTGCACAGCCCAATGCTCTCCAGCTGGATCCAGTGGCTGCGTGGCCACTAGCACACAGCCATGCATGGGATGGAATTGGGGCAAGGATATGGGGAGCAACAAAGGGCAGACCCCCCTGTGTGGCTCAGCAGCGCCCTGGGGACACTCCACTGTGCACAGCAATCTGTGCACCCGCAGCAGCGAGTCTGGCTGCACCATTTCTCCAAAATCCTGGAAAGATTTCAGGTTTTTCCTGTGTGTTTCCAAGCTCTCGCCATGCCGGCATGTCCAGCTCGGTGACAACCTGCTGTCCCCACTGCTCACGTGCTGTGCCCAGCCCTGAGGCAGGCTGGGGCCAGCAGCAGCTGAGCTGCCGTGCAGAGGCTTGCCCAAATCACGAAATGCCAGTGTTTGTGTGGGATGTGACACGTCCCAGCACGGCTGCTGGAGTTGGGAAAGGCTCCAGGAGTCCGGCCCCGATCTGGGTGGGGAAGTGACCTTCCCTGCACCCTGGGCTGTGGGGACATGTTCCGGCCGGTGCCAGCACCCTGCAGCCCTTGGACAGGGAGGAGAGCCTCCCAGCACCCCCTGGCACAGCCTGCAGGTGCTCTGGGAGGCAGCTCAGGTCTGGGCTCCGAGGTTTCCCACCTTAAAGCCGCTCATGCTGGGGAAGACGCTCTGAGCCGTGACCACGTCCTCCTTGGAGCCGGGCAGCTGGAAGCACTTCCTGGTGTTCACCTCCTTCTCGGTCGTCTCTGGCGTGATCTTGTACCTCATGCCATAGGGCTTCACCGCTGCCAGCTGATAGGTTATCACCTGCCCTGTGCCAGGGAAGGGGAAACTGAGGCACAGAGTCCTGCTGGTGCGGGGGGGGCGCAGCTGGTGCCCACCTCTCACCTCCGTAGTACTGGATGCGGCTCTTGTTCCCCGTCAGGTTGTACCAGGCTTCAAAGGGCTCCTCGATCTCGGCATAGGGCAGCTTAATGACCCCTGCAGAGGGGGCATTGTCCCCGGCACAGGACACAGCTCAGCCCCAAGCCCCAGCACCCCAGCATCCCTGCCTGAGCCCCTGGAGTCTGCAGACCCACAGCTGACCAAGGCAGTGCCCCACAGGTGATGAAGAGGCACTGGGCTGTGGGAACCTGCCCCAGTTTGGCACTGGGACAGCCTGGTCAGGGCCATGCTGAGCATCCTGTGCTCCCCCACAGGGCACTGGGGGTCTGTCAGGGTGTGCCCATTACCTCGGACGTGGTAGATGGAGCCGAACTGAGGGGGTGGGCGGGAGAGCCCATGGTCCTGTCCTGAAAGGCAGAGAGGGGCAGGGTGAGGGGGCTGTGTGTTCCCCCAGCTGAGATGGGGATGGGAGGCTGCCAAGCCAGTGCTCCCCTTCCCTGCAGCCTGGGGCTTCCCTTCTTGGCCAGAGGAGCTTCCTGAGCTCATCCCAAGGCACATCCAAGGGACACTGAGGCACTGACACCTCCCAGGGTCAGCACCATGACACTGCAGCCAGCCCTGCACTGCTGCACCCCCAGGGAACCCCAGCACTGTTGGGGTGATGCCCCAGTGTCACCCCCAGCACTGGTGGCCTTGGCCTGGAATATTTCCAAGGTGGGACCCAGCCAAGCTGTCCCCAACACACAGAGCATTGTTGAGGGGTGCCAGGGACCTTACTGGTTCTGCCTGGCATCTCCCAGTGACCTCGCCAGCCTCCCCCCGGGCTCCCAGCTTGTGCAACCCCACGCCAACACAAGTGCTGGGAACGAGCCCTTCCCTCCCTCAGCATCTTCCTCCTCGCCGGGAGCGACCGGCAGCACCTGCCCGGACCCGGACCGCGCCCGCCCAGCCCGGGAGAGCCGGGAGCAGCCCTGCCCCCGACCCTGGGGGAGCTGGGGACGAGCAGACCCCCACCTGCACCCCAGGCTGTGCCATGGGGACCCATCACAGCCACCTCGGGGCACCCACAGGCAGCAATGGGTGCAGCCCCCTCCCCGCCCTGCTCGGCTCCATCAGCACCCAGAAAGGGGGTCCCACGGGGGCACGGCCGCCCTGCCACCCCTGTGCCCTCACACTCGCCTGTCCTGCCCGGTTGGGTTAAACCCCTTGGGTTAAAGCCTCAATTTGGTTTTATTTTCACGCCTCAGCCCCACCAAGCCCTCAAGACACATCCCCCCCTGCCCTCTTTGCCCCTATCTCAGCTGTGTCTTGGAGGAACTGCAAATTTTGGGACCCGACGAGCAGTGAAACCACTTCCCCAGACTGAACCCTGCCTGCAGCGCAGCTGGAGGAGATCTGGGGGTGCTCCCATCTCCCTCCCGTGCCCGGGTGTCCCCAGCGGTGGCAGGGCCAGGGCCAGACTCACCCCGGACGGCGATGCAGAGTGCGGAGGCCACGAGGCAGCGGAGGACACCCATCGCTGCCGCCCGGCCCCGGCTGCGCCGCTTTAAGCCGGGGCCGGCGGCGGGGAAACCCGGCCGAGCCAATGCAGAAAGCGGGGCCCTCCCCGAGGAGGGAAGGAACCCGCATCATGTGGTGCCTGGCGGGGGGACGGGCACCCCGGCTCGGCGTGTCCCGGCAGGGCCCCGCGGTCGGGGATGGAGCAACGCCGGGGCCCGCGGGGCGCGGGGGGTGCGGGACGAGCCCCGGAACGCCCCGAGCAGCGCCCGGGTGCGTGCCCTGCATGGATCTGCGGGGCTGGGCTCGGCCAGGCTTGCCTCGCTCAGGAGGTGACAAGACAAGGGTGACAGCAGCGGGGAGCGGGTCCCCAGCCTGCACCGGCCCCGTGGCAGCACCGAGGGGAGCAGCGAGGCCAGACTCACGGACACAGAGGAAAGGGGGTCGTAGAGGGAGGGCTCACTGCAGGGTGAGGGGCAGGAGGAGGGGGAGGAAGGCTCTGGAGAGATGGGGAGGATCCAGCCCAGTTGTGTGGGAGGACAGTGGGGCAGAGCCGGGACAGAGCCAGCTCCAGGGGGCTTGGAGAGGATGCGGGGAGGGGGCTCAGACAGGGCTGGGGAGGCTCGGAGAGGCTGCAGGGGGATCACTGGGATGTGGGGGTTCAGGCGGGGTGCAGGGGGATCACACAGGGGTCTGGGTGGTTTACCCCAGCCCCAGAGCTCACTGAAGTTTGTGGCTCGGTGTGACCGATACCAAATCTCGGGGTCATCCCACCAACAACTTTGTCTGGACAAGGGGTAGATAAGGGGTTTGATGTCTAGTGGGCAATCCATGGACACAGGACTGGCTTGAGCCACATAGGAGCTGCACCCCATCTTGGGGGGACATGTGGGACAGCCCTGGAACACAAGGCAGAGCTGCCCGCCGTTCCCCAGGCATGGTGGGCTGCTCCCTGCCCCTCCAGGGATCTGCCCTGCCCGAGAGCCCGTGCCAGCAGGACAGGTGTGGTGCCACCAGACCGGCCCCTTGCTCCTGTCCCTTGCAAGGCCACAGTGCTCTGTTTGATGTCCCTTTGCTGTCCCCTGCCCGTGGGCGCTCCGTCGGGGGTCTGCCCGGCTCTGGGCAGGGGCAGGCACGGGCTGGATCCGCACACTGCCCCGTAAACCCCAGCGGGCAGAGCCTGCCAATCCACGCCGGTGTCTCCGGGCGCCGCTGGGGTCCTGAGACCCCCTGGCGCCCGCCCCGCTGGGCCCCCTCCGCGGGCAGGCTGGGGAGCCACGGTGGCCCGGGGGGTGACCCGGGGGGTGACCCGGGGGGTGGCTCGGGGGGTGCCCCGCAGGGTGACCCGCAGCGTGACCCGCAGGGTGATCCGCAGGGTGACCCGCAGGGTGCCCCGCAGCGTGACCCGCAGGGTGACCCTCAGCGTGGCCCGGGGGGTGACCCGGGGGGTGACCCGGGGGGTGGCTCGGGGGGTGCCCCGCAGGGTGACCCGCAGCGTGACCCGCAGGGTGGTCTGCAGTGTGACCCGCAGGGTGACCCTCAGCGTGGCCCGGGGGGTGGCCCGCAGGGTGACCCGCAGCGTGACCTGCAGGGTGACCCGCAGGGTGACCCGCAGCGTGACCCGCAGGGTGGTCTGCAGTGTGACCCGCAGGGTGACCCTCAGCGTGGCCCGGGGGGTGGCCCGCAGGGTGACCCGCAGCGTGACCTGCAGGGTGACCCGCAGGGTGACCCGCAGCGTGACCCGCAGGGTGACCCGCAGGGTGCTGCAGCGGCGGCTGGGCTGGCTGGTACAATGAACCATTGCTGCGAGCGCGGGGAGGAAGGGGGGGCGAGGGGAGGGGAAGCTCTTGCTCGGCTGCCAGAGCCGCCGGAGAGACAGGGGAAGCTCAGGGCCGGGCGCTCCCGCTCTCCCACGGCTGCCGCCCCGGCACCCCCGGCGCTGGCCGCAGCGGGGCTGCCCCCGGTGGTCCCGGGTGCCAGGGGGTCCATGCCAGCCGGAGCAGGAGCAGGAGGTACGTGCGGCTGTGCGGGCAGGGTGGTGGGGGGCTCAGCCCTGTGACAGCGGGGGGTCTCACCCCCTTGCTGGGGGATGCCCCCTCCGTGTGTGGGTGGCTCTGGGTCCCGGGTGAGGCGGCGCTGAGCTGGGGGGACAGAGTCCCGCGACACTGGCGGGGTCTGCTGGGGGGCTGCTCTCACTGTGCCCTCACTGCCTCCCTGGGAAATGCCCGAGGGTGGGAGGACACCGCCGTCCTCGCCATCCTAGGGGGCCGCAGGTCAGCGGGGGCTGCGGGTGGAGATCTGGGGGCACCAGCAGCTGCAGTCACCATCCCGGCACCAACTGGGGGTGACACCGCGGAGCCTGCGGAGCACATGGTGCCCTCAGCGTGCCGGAGCCACAGGCTGGACAGGGAACAGGACAGCCTGGGGACACATACACACACCTGTGCCCTCCGTCCCTGCCGGTGCCCGTAGGGTCCCAGCCCAGCCAGCGCTCCGGGGCGATGCTGCAGGCTCAGCTCCCCGAGGCTGAGGCTGGGGAAGCTGCAGGGGCTCAGGCCCTGGCCGGAGCGGATGCTCCCCCCGGTCCCTGCAGCTCTGCTTCGTCCCTGATCCTTGGTGTGTCCCAAGGAGGGACAGGAACTCGCTGCTTCCTGCCCTGCACAATTCCCTCCCCACCCCGCTCCTCCCGGGACATTGTATTTGGAGCCCTGGCTGGCTCCCTCCCTCCGCCCCTGCAGCCCCTTGGATCCGGGAATTGCTCTTCTTCCAGCGGAAATCCTGCTTTCCCAGCCAGCGATGGGGCTGCAGGGCTGGGGAAGGGGGGGCTCCCTCCCTGCCGAGCATCTTGTGCCAGGGAGGGGGCAAGGGGACCCCTCTGCCACGGGCCTGGTGGCTGACAGGTGGGCTTGCAGAGAAGATCACTTTTGGGGGTTGGCAACCCTTCAGTTTTCGTCCCAGGGAATAGCCCTGCTTGTGGGCATGCAGGGTGTGGGGTGTCACCCCTCCATGCACCCCTCGTTCTGGAGGAACTGCACCCACTGGGAGCCACTGGGCACTGGGTGAACTGGGAGGACTGGAGCTGGAGCAGGGCTCCATCTCCAGGTATCACTGGGATGGCCTTGGGGCTGGGGGCAGTGGGGAAGGGGCAGGGACACGCCACCACCTGCCACGGAGCTGGAACAAGGAGCAGATGGGGCAGGCAGGTGTGGCCTCTGTCCCCTCCCCAGGTCTGTGGGGTCCTGGGCATGGGACGGTGGCACAGCTGTGTCCTAATGAGCCACCTTCCCCTCTGCCTCATGCCTGCTCTCCTGCTGGGAGCGGGGAGCTCCGGAGCCGCGGGGTGACAGAGGAACCTCGGTGGCACCAGCTGGGCTGTGCAGCCCTCTCGGTTCCTCTTCCCAGGGAGCAGGAGCCGGGTCACCCCGGAGCAGTGCAGGATGACAGCATGGGACAGGGCATGGAGGGGCCCAGGACACCCAGGGGGCTGAGCCCCGCTGCCACCCCTGCCTGACCCTCCCAGCTGTCACCATCCTGCCAGTCCTGCCAGTCCTGCCAGTCCTGCCAGTCCTGTGGCCCCTTGTTGGCCACAGCACCATCCTCTTCCTCCCCCCACCCCACGCCGTGCTCCTGCTGCTTCCTCTTCCCTCTGCCGAGCTGCTGTGTGAGTTCCTCTGGCAGCACCTCCTGCCCAGGGCCTCGTGGCCCCCTCAGCCTGGCCAATGCCACCATGATTGTCCCCACGGCACGGGGGGTGCCATTCCCAGCACCCCCACATGGCTCCACGGGGCTGCAGCCCCCAGAGCCTGACTTCTCCACGCTGTTGTTCCATGAGGGGCGAGGATGCAGGGATGGAGGTGACCCCAGGGGTAGCTCAGCTCTGCGGGTGACACGTGGGGTGACAACTGGGCCTGCAAGGGGTATTGTGCCCTGTCTAGCAGCTGGGCATGGGGCTGAGCTGCCCCGTGTCCCAGGGGCCTGGGGAACAGATGGATGGGCAGCCAGGGACGTGGCTGCTCCGTGCCCAGCCATGCCCGGCGGGACAGGGGTGAGGGATTGGCTGGGGTTCAGCGCGGGTGGGACCTGGCAGCTCGGCCGGGCAGCCAGGGTGGGAAGGGCTCAGCTGCCATCTGCTCCCCGGCTCCAGGCAGCTCCTTTTTGGGAGAGCTGGAGCCAGACACCACCGTGCAGCCATCGGCCACAGCACCAGCTGGGTCCCCTTCCCGTGGACAGCGTGAGGGATGGCTCTGAGCCACCCTGCAGTGAGCTCAGGGGCTCTTGGGAAGGGGAGGCCTGGGTGCAATGCTGCTGCACATCACCTGGACCCGTGATGCTGTGCTACAGGGGGTTTCTGCTTGCCTGGAAATGCCCCTTGCCATCCCTGTCCCTGCTGGCACCTGTGGCAGCTCCACTGCTCGGTCAGTGCTGAAATTCAGCAAAATGGGAAGTTTCTGAATGTGGGGGGGGCAGGTGATTCCCACTCGGGGGGGTCAGGGTTTGTGAGAGCCAGGGTTGTCCATCAGTTTGAATAGCCACTAATTATCATCAGGAATAAAACCCCCAACGGGCCGAGTTTCCTCAGATTTGGCAACGCTGCCCTGTCGGCAACGGCTGCAGCCTTGCCACACCACCAGTGTGCAGAGCAGAGATGGAAAGGGAGAGCTGGGCTCCTTCCAGCCCTGCTGAGAGAGAGGAAAGGGAATCAATAGCCATGATTGGGAAGATCTGCCTGAACCGTCTCACCCAGCCCAAACCTTTGTCTCCTCGTGCTCACTGGAGTGCAGAGGGCAGGACACCTTCCCCTCCTTCCCTCCTTCCCTGTGTCTCAGCTGCAGACAGAGGCTGCAGGCTGGAAGCTGTGCCCAGTGCAAACTGGGCAGGCTGGTGTGGGTGTTTGCCCAGCAGCCAGGCAATAACAGGGCTGGGGATGGACTGTCCATAGAGCCGTGACAAGAGAGGCCTGACTTCCTCCTCCTCCTCTGTGACACCTTCTCGCCACATGTGGCCGGAAGAGCCTGTGCTGACCACAGCAGTGTGAGCAGGGACCTTGCTCCCCAAAACACCCACTCCCCAGCAAGCAGAGGGCGTGGGGATGGGGACCCTTTGGGGGCTCCTTCCCACTGGGTCTGGCTCTCCTTCAGCTGCCCTGAAAGGACGTGAGCAGTGTGGTGAGGACACAGTGAGAGAAAAACCCACTTGAGGATGTGGTTTCAGCCCACACCGGGGTGTTGCAGCCCTCGGAGGAATGTTGCAGCTTCGTGGGGGTGTTGCAGATCATTTTAGCTCATGCAGGGGGTTGCAGCCTGGGAAGGGATGTTGTAGCCCACGGAGGGGTGTTGTGGCTCGTGCAGGAGTGGTACAGCCTGTGCACGGGTGCTTTGGTCCATGCAGGGGTGTTGTAGCTCATGCAGGGGTGTTACAGCCATGCAAGTGGTGTTGCAGCCCATGTGGTTGGTGTTGCAGGCCGTGTAGAGGTGTTGTAGTCCATGGCAAAGGTGTTGCATCCTGTTATGGGGTGTTTCAAGCTCTTCGGGGGTATTCTAGCCTTTGGCAGAAGTGTTTCAGCATGGGCAGGGGTGTAGCAGCCCTGGGAGGGGTGCTTCAGTGCGTGCAGAGGTGTTGCAGCCTGTACAGGGGTGTTTTATCCCGCAGAGGAGTGCTACAGCCCATGCCAAGGGCATCTGAACCCATGCAAGGGTGCTGCCCCCACCTGATCCCTCCCTGCTGTCCACAGGTGACTCTTCTCCTCCCTGGGGTGGCATGGAGCAGCTGGAGTGACCTGAGGAGTCGTCGCAGTGAGTGGGGCTGCCGTGGAGCACCCCGGGGTGCCAGGGGCACGTGGGGTCCCCGGGCAGCAGAGCCCTCCTTGCAGCAGTGCCCACGGGGACCCCGGTGTCCCCCTGCTGAGCTGGGGGGTGGCAGGGTGCACCCCAGTGCCTGTCCCCATGCGGGCACTGGCAGCCACGTGTGCCCCCTGCTCACGGACCCTCTGTCCCACAGGCGGTGCCCAGGATGGGCTGCGTGCCCTGCAAGGAGAGGGGGGCTGGCAAAGGGCAGGCAGGGGGCGAGGGGGGCTCCCTCCAGCCCCCTGCCTCGCAGTACGACCCCGACCCCACGCAGCCAGGGGCCATCTTCACCCGCATCCCCGACTTCAACAACTTCCAGGGGCCAGCCGTGCCCCCGGCCCCGGAGCCGGGGGGCTTCACCTCCAGCGCGCTGCCAGCGCGGAGCGGGGGCATCTCAGGTCAGCAGGGCGGCTCCAGGTGGGGAGGTGGCCAGCCACACCCCTGGGCTGCCCCTCTGGGCTCACCGGGGTCCCCTCCGTGTGCCACAGGCGGGGGGGTGACGCTCTTCATCGCCCTGTACGACTACGAGGCCAGGACGGAGGATGACTTGACATTCCAGAAAGGGGAGAAGTTCCACATCATCAACAACACGTGAGCCTCCCCCGGGCCTCCTGCCGCCCCCAGCCCCACATGCCAGCCCGGGGAGGAGCCTCTGTGCCTCGGGCAGCCCCCAGCCTGGGGACCCAGGCTGTGTCTGGGCTGCCCCACTCGGAACCAGGGCCGCGGGTCGTGAGCTGAGTGGTCTCAGCAGAGATGGGTGGGGAAGAGCAGGGTCCGTGCAGGGTGGGGAGGCACACAGAGGGTCTGTCCGTCTGTCCCTCCTCCTCCTCCACGTTCTCTGTTTCCCTGCCCAGGGAGGGGGACTGGTGGGAGGCCAGGTCGCTGAGCTCGGGAGCCACTGGCTACATCCCCAGCAACTACGTGGCCCCCGTGGACTCCATCCAGGCAGAAGAGTGAGTGTCAGGGGAAAGGGATGGACACACACCCCAGCCCCCCTGCCTCGGGCCCAGGGGCCCCATGAGCCCCGGCAGTGCTGCATGGGGGGTCTGTGGTCCCTCTGGTGCCTCCCTGGCGCTGAGCCCATCCCGTGGCAGGTGGTACTTTGGGAAGATCGGGCGCAAGGACGCGGAGCGGCAGCTCCTGTGCCACGGCAACGCCAGAGGCACCTTCCTCATCCGGGAGAGCGAGACCACCAAAGGTACAGGGACAGCATGGGGCACCAGGGGCTGTGCCCAGCGCCCCTCCCTGACCCATGCCCCCACAGGTGCCTACTCCCTGTCCATCCGGGACTGGGACGAGGCCAAGGGGGACCACGTGAAGCACTATAAGATCCGGAAGCTGGACAGCGGGGGGTACTACATCACCACCCGGGCCCAGTTCAGCACCGTGCAGCAGCTGGTCCAGCACTACATAGGTAGGGTGGGGTGGGGTGGGGGGCGCAAGGGGGGCCAACAGGAGGGGTGGGAATGCCCAGAAGACCCTTTGGTAAGAGACTGGGCTGACCTGGGGAAGGAGGAGGCTGTTCTGTTGGTGGCATTAGGGGGCTCCTGAGTCTCCCCCTTTCCATGCCCAGGGTGCAGGGGGTTCCTGTTGTCTCTGGGGGTGGGCATCACCCACTCCCTGGGTGCAGCTGGGGGTCTGGAGGTCCCGCCGGGCCAGGGGGGTGCAGAGCTGTCCCTGGGGCAGGTGGAGGGGGGTGCGTTTGTGTCGTGGGGGTGACTGGGTGGTGCAGGAGCCGTGCTGATGCCGGGGGTGCTGGGAGGGGACGGAGGGCTCCGTGCCCACACTGACTCTGTGCCCTGCTCCCGTGCTGCAGAGCGGGCGGCGGGGCTGTGCTGCCGCCTGGCTGTGCCGTGCCACAAGGGAACCCCCAAACTGGCCGACCTCTCAGTCAAAACCAAAGACGTGTGGGAGATCCCCCGCGAGTCCCTCCAGCTCCTCAAGAAGCTGGGAAATGGGCAGTTCGGGGAAGTCTGGATGGGTAGGGCCCGGTGGGCAAGCCAGAGCAAGAGGCAGGGGGGACGTGGGGGTACCCCCAGGCCTGGTGCCCCACTGGGAAAAGCTCGTGCCTGCCAGGACAGGCTGAGTGACACTGATTTGCTGGCATGAGGAATTATGCCATGTCCTCCTCTGGGCTCACAACGGGTCCCCCAGGATGCCCCATGTCACCTCTGCATGGGCAAGCAGACCCCACTGCAGATGGGACCACAGGACCAGGCCAGGGGGTCCCACCTTCGTCATCCTCTTCCTCTGGCATTGCTTGCTTCCTCCACTCATGCATGCTGCCTTCATCCCATCACATCCCTCCCTCCTCTTCCCTGCCTGCCCCCCATGCCCCGTAGAGTACAACGATGGGTTGTGCCATCTGCTCACCCACCCGTGCCCTGCCGTGAAGCCCCAGACCCTGGGATTAGCTAAGGACGCCTGGGAGATAGCACGGGAATCCGTCACCCTGGACAAGAAACTTGGCATGGGATGTTTTGGAGACGTGTGGATGGGTAAGGCTGGCCCGGCCGGCCGGGGTGGGGGAGCACAGCGGGCAGGAGAAGCTCCCTTCTGTCCTGGCAGGAGCATCACAGGGTGCCAGGTGGCACCCGCTGGTGTGGGGGAGACTGAAACTTGGCACAGAATCCACGAAGGGTTTGGGAATGGGGTGAGGTTGGTGCTGGGGTGAGGGGAACTCCTTGTTCTGGGTGGGGTGCAGTGGGAGCACAATCCCCCCCAAGGGATCCCTTCCTTGCCCTGCCCTGATTCCTTACCCATCCATCCATCCATCCATCCATCCATCCATCCATCCATCCATCATCCATCCATCATCCATCCAGCCATCCACACAAGCAGCAAGCATGCACCCACACACTCCTCCCTCCGCGCAGCCCTCTGTCCTGGGCTGGCTGTCCCCTGGGCTCGTGGTGACTCCGTGTCCCCACCCCAGGGACGTGGAATGGCACCACGAAGGTGGCAGTGAAGACGCTGAAGCCAGGGACCATGTCCCCTGAGGCCTTCCTGGAGGAGGCCCAGATCATGAAGCGGCTGCGGCACGACAAGCTGGTGCAGCTCTACGCCGTGGTGTCGGAGGAGCCCATCTACATCGTCACCGAGTTCATGAGCCAGGGTGAGCGGGGCACCTGCCTGGGCACGAGGGCACCCTCGGGTTTTGGGGGTCTCTGACGGCGACTCCTGCTGCCTGCAGGCAGCTTGCTGGATTTCCTGAAGGATGGGGACGGTCGCTACCTGAAGCTGCCCCAGCTGGTGGACATGGCTGCCCAGGTACGGGGGGCTGGTGCAGGGTGGGGGCGCACCCCGGGGGGCTCTGGGGGGTCCTCACCTCTCCGTGCCCCTCAGATTGCGGCGGGCATGGCGTACATCGAGAGGATGAACTACATCCACCGGGATCTCCGCGCCGCCAACATCCTGGTGGGAGACAACCTGGTGTGCAAGATCGCCGACTTCGGCCTCGCTCGCCTCATCGAGGATGACGAGTACACGGCGCGGCAGGGTGGGAGCACCTGCGCCGTGACCCCCGCTGTGTCCCCTAGCCTGGAGATGGCCACCCCCAGGCAGGGCGACCTGGGCAGTGGGTGCCCCGAGTGTGCCAGGGAAGGGGTATCCTGGGTGAGGGACACCCCAGATTTTGGGTGTTTTGGGTGATGGATACCTTGGATCACCCCGGGGAATGGGTGCCCAGGGAATGGGTGCCCCAGGGAATGGGTGCCCCAGGGAATGGGTGCCCAGGGAATGGGTGCCCCCAGCAGACAGGTGCCAGGGTGTGGGTATTTCGGTTGATGGATGTCCCAGGTGAGGGTACCCCAGGTGCAGAGTGTCCCCAGTGCAGGGTGCCTTGGGTGCTGGGTGTCCCATGTGTGGGCTGCCCCAGGCAGTGGTGTCGTGGGTGCTGGGTGCCCCTAGGGCAGGGTGCCCCCCATTCAGGGTGCCCCTGGGGCAGGGTGCCCCCCGTTCAGGGTGCCCCCATGCAGGACACCCTCAGCACGGGGCAGTTCAGGTGATTTGCCTCGGATGAGGGGTGTCCCGGGGGTGGGCTGTCCCCAGAGGGGGGTGCACCAGGTGCCGGCCTCTCCGGGTGCAGGGGCAGCCCCTCACCTGTGTCCCACTGCAGGTGCCAAGTTCCCCATCAAGTGGACAGCTCCGGAGGCTGCACTTTTTGGGAGGTTCACCATCAAGTCGGATGTCTGGTCCTTTGGCATCCTCCTGACGGAGCTGGTGACCAAAGGCCGCGTGCCCTACCCAGGTATGGCCCTCTGGGGCAGGGGCACCCTGGGGTGGGCTGGGTAGGGCGCAGACCGGGGCTGATTCTGTCCCGTGCCTCAGTTTCCCCATCGGAGGGACCAGTGCTGAACTGAGCTCCTACCCAGACCACAGGGCAATGCCCCTGTGTGCCTCAGCTTCCCCAGTGGCTGGTGGCAGGGGGTGCTGGCACTGAGCAGGAGGGCCCTTGTCACGCAGGGATGAACAACCGGGAGGTGCTGGAGCAGGTGGAGCGGGGGTACCGCATGCAGTGCCCGGGGAGCTGCCCCCCTTCCCTGCACGAGCTGATGGTGCAGTGCTGGAAGAGGGAGCCCGAGGAGCGCCCCACCTTCGAGTACCTCCAGTCCTTCCTCGAGGACTATTTCACTGCCACTGAGCCCCAGTACCAGCCCGGGGACAACCAGTGACCCGGGGCTGGCACTCCCCGCAAGCTGGGCTGGCTTTGGGGTGAATCTCTTTTTTTCTTTAGAGGTGGTTGCTTCCTTTGTCTGTGCCCCCCCAAAATGCCTTTTAGGGGTGCTCAGGGTGCCCAGGGCGGACACAGGGCTTTGCACAAGGATGCTGGACTCAGAGAGAAAACAAAACTGTGCGCCCCAGCCCCCCCTTCCCCCACTCCCTTTATTGCCTTCACACCCAGCTTTGAACCTGAGAGGGGCTTTGGCTGCAGGGGGGACTGTGGGGACCCCCGTGAACCCCCCCAGACCCACAGAGTAGCAGAGGGCTCGGGGGGAGCTCCCCACGCCAGCCCAAATCTCTTCTGGGAGCACAGCTGCGTGGCGTCCCAAAGTCCTGGCACTGACCTGTGGGAGGTCATCCCAACCCTCCCTCCCTTTGTCTCTCCTTTAATTTATAAGATTTTATATGATGCCTCCCCCAAGCAGCCATCGACCCCACCAAGGGATCCCAGTATTTGGGGACCCCCTTGTCCCCCTCTTGCTTTCGTAGAGCCAAGTGCTGAGAGCCAAACACCCAGCCCTGCTTGCCCTGGGGGTGCTGCGGGGGGTCCTGGGGGGTCTGGGCAGGCTGGGGCAGCCCTGCCCCAGGGGCTGCTCCCTCCTGCCCCACCAGGCAGGACGAGGGCACGGGGTGGGCTCAGCAGCCCCACTGCCCCCGGGGCTGCAGCCTGGCTCCGTGACTGGGGGGACATGTCAGTGTGAATGCAGGGTGCCCCCCTGCCCCTCCAGCGCCCCCATTTTGAGCGGGGTCCCAGTCCCGTGCCCCGTGGCCAGTAACGCCCCCACACCCCCAGGGCAGTGCCGTGGCGGGAGGGAAGGGCAGGGGAGGGATCTGTTGTTTATTTTTTTTTATGAAGTCTGTAAATACAGAGAAATAAAACCTTTCTAACAAGCTGGGGACAGCTGGGTCCCTCTGCCCCTGCCCCACTCCAAGGGAGAGCAGCTGCCCCGGGTGGGCAAAAGCACTGGGGGTGCTTAGAGCTGGGGCGCAACACTGAGGGGGTTCCAAGTTCAGCCAAACCAGGACGGGGTGGTGCCCCCTCACCCCCTCCAGCCCCAGGGCACAGGTTTGGGGGTCTCCTCCAAGGGGGTGAGCAGAGAAATCCCCCCTGCCGCCAGGGCCACGTGGGGAGGGGACACCCCAACTTCCCTTGTGAATAAAGGCCTGGAAAGGCTGGGTTGGGAAGCACTGGGGTTCACAGAGCTGCCCCCCGTGCAGAGCACCCTGCAGCCCCCCAGCTCTCCCCACCAGGGGACTGTCCCCCCCTGCCAGCTGTGGCAGGGAGGGGTCCTGTGCCGGCAGGCTGGGGAAGAAGAGGTTAATTTTCCTTGCAGCTTGGCCTCCCCAGCAGGGCCCAGCTGTGCCGGTAATGAATTCCTCAGCACTGATGGGAAGGAGGGACTGGCCCCCACCCCACTCAGGGGGACTCAGGCTATGGGGAAGATGCTGGGCTTGTGGGGAGGGGGGCAGGGGGCCAATGCCGCTGGGTTTGGGGACATTCCAGGGGCTGTGGGGACACGCTGAGGTGTTTGGGGACATTCCAGGGGCTGTGGGGACATGCCACCATCCCTGGGTACCACCAGACATCCTCACAGCTCCTGCTTCACCCCAGCTCCTGCAAGGGCATTGGGCACCCGTGCTGGGAGTGAGCAGGGCTGGGTGTGCCCCCGCTCCCCATCCCAGGAGAAATCCCTGGGGAAGGGCCAGGCCCCAGCCAGGCAGGGTGGCGGGGTGCCCGGGGCTGGGGGACAGAGCAGCTTGGGTGCCAGGGACAGGAGAGGCCGTGGCTGCCAGCAGGCAGTCCCAGGCACAGCCCTGGTGTCTCACCGTGCCCATCCCTGGTGCCTGGCTGTGCCCACCAGCTCTGGCCTCCCCACGCCTGGGGCTGGGGCCTGGGGATGTGGGGCCGAGATTGCGGGGGCCTGTGTGAAAGGGGGGACCCCCATCCCAGTCCCCCCTGCCGTGCTCCCCTCTCCCAGCGCCCCCGGGAGGGGTGAGGGGCTGAAAGGATTTTGCTGCGGGGTGACCACAGGCTGGGCAGGGGAGGGGCATCGATTTTCTGCTGATGCCGAGCGCTATTGATCAGGGGTGGAGGGCGGCTGTGGGTGGGCACAGATCGCCCTTCACAGAGCTCCCAGCGGGGCCGGGAGGTGGGCAGGGAGGTGAGGACCCCCCAGAGGCGCTGCAGGCTTGTGTTTGCTTCAGAGCCTGCGCTGGGGGCTCGGAGGGGAGAGCGGAGCTCAGAGCTGGGGGGGCTGCTCTGGCCCCTTCCCCCAGGGCTGGCTGGTCCCTGCAGCAGCTCCCGACGGGGGAGAGCAGCCCTGCAGCCCTGCAGCCCTGCAGCTCAGCAGCCCTTCCCTGCCCTGCCCGAGGTCAGCCCAGCGCCCCGGCTCCCCCGGTGCCCCGGTTCCCCCGTGCCCGCGGTGCCCGCACGCCGTGCCCAGCCCGGGTGGCTCTGCCGGCTGCTCGGGGCCGCGCACGGGGGTCCGGAGCCAGCGAGCCCCCGGTGCCAGGGCACAGGTGCGAGGATGCCGCAGATGGCCGGCGCTGCCGAGCCTGGCACTCGCGCTGCCGCCCCCGGCGCTGCCGGGACCCCCGGGATGGGCAAGGAGCCGTCCCCACCCGCGGCAGGCGGGGTTCGTCCCTGTGCCCCCCGCCCCGCTCCCCAGGGCTGGCAGAACCCGCGGAGCCCCGGGGCGTGGAGCAGAGCCGTCTCCGCGGCAGCGGTGGCCAGACAACAGTGGAAAATGGCCAAAAATGTGGGCTTGGGCTTGACCAGGCTTGAGCCTGCCGGTCCAGGCCTGCAGGCACCGTCCCCTCAGGGGGGAAACTGAGGCACAGATGGGTTTATCTGCAGTCACCCAGCAGCTCAGCACCAGTCACTGTGAGGGGACACCTTTTTCCACGGAAAAACAACGGATAATTGGGAAGAGCTGTGCACTGACAGCAGCAGCATCCGTGGCAGCAGGCTGTGGGGGAGCAGCAGGGCTGGGGACGGAGGTTTTCTGGGCGTGGGAATGGTCTGGTGACAGGGCAAACACGGGGAGGGGGCTCAGGGGAGCCTTGCTCTACTGGCCACGGGGCTGCTCAGAAATGGTTTTACTGGGAGAAATCGGGAACGGTTTTGCTGCTGCTCCAGGGCAGCCCGGTGCTGGAATTCGGGGATGAATTGGGCTTTTCTGCCGCAGTTACCTTTATGGAGACAAAACCTGGCTGGCCACAGCTCTCCACAGACACTGGAGGGGCAGGGAGCCCCCCGACCCCCCCCCCCAAACCCCANCCCCCAAGCCCCGGGGGGGGAGGGGACCCCCCCGCCCCCCCCCCCCAAACCCCATCTCTGGACTGTGCTCCCCACAACAGCAGCTCCTGCATCCCAGCAAAGCACCAAACACCTTCCTCTGCCCCTCGCCCCCCATCCCCGTGCCCCCAGCTCTCCCCACAGCGTCCCACTGCCTCCTGTCCCCCCGCCCCGGGGCGCTGGTGGCTTTAGGGGTGCCAGCTGCCATCCCCCCGAGCCCAGCCTTGCGGGGCCGAGCCCGGGCAGCTCCTGGCCCCGGGGGTGGGCAGGGGTGGCTCGGGGGACACGGCCGGAGCGGGGACAGCGGCGGCGGAGCAGCCGCTAGATGGTAGCGTAAGCCCACGCTGCTGACACAGCACCGGCGGGGACAGCGCCCGGTGACCCGGGTGGCCCCGGAGCCGCCGGCCCCGCCCCGGCTCAGCTGAAATCCCCGCAGGGCTGAGCGCTCGCCGCTGCGACACGAGTGGCGTGGGCACAGCTCGCCCGCCCCCGTGCCCACGGCCACGGCTGGAGCCACCCGTGCCCGCGGGGACAAGGGGGGACCCCGCTCCCAAAGCCCCTGTGCCCCAAACTCAGACTCAAACACCCCCCGAACCAGCACAGGGCACGAGGCTGACGTGAGAGGGGTCAGACCCCGGCCTGGGGACAAGCAGGGTGACCCACAAGGCACCCAGCTCAGTGTGGGGGTGCTGGGCACCCACGGGAGTCTGGCAGGGCCGGGTGGGGGGGTCCATCCTGCTGCAAACACCTCGTTTAACTCCTCATCCTCCTCCAGCCCTGCCCGGGGCTCCGTGCCAGACTGGTATATATATTTTATGATAACTATAGAGATGCACTTCAAACCTGACAAAGGACTTTGACAGTTTTAAGCATCTCTTTGATTAATACATGACCTTTTAATGCTTTGGATTAAATTAATAAATCTTTTACATTCTAACCCGTTCTGCTTGCAATGTCATGGGTTTTGCACGACCTCTCTCTCTTCCCTGCCCTGTCCCTCTCCCCCCATCCCTGCACAGGTCCAGCAATCCACAGCCCTGCAATATTCATGGGGCACAGAGCCCTGCAAAGAGAGAAGGGAGGGGATACTCCTCGGTGGCTTTATTTTTTTTTTTTTTTTGAACCATCCCTAAAAATAGCAAGAAAATTCAAAGCTGACATTCAGGGCGAGGGGACGAGGAAGCCTGCAAAGTTGCTCACTCAGCCACCAGCAATTGCAGCGATCCTGTCTGCGTGTGCAGATTCCTCTGCTGACCGGGCTGGAGCCCAGGCCTGCACTCTGCTCGGCTCCAGGAGCAGTGCAGCCTGCTCTGCATCCTGCACAGAGCCCAGCCAGCCCCAAACCAGCCCCCGACCCTGCTGGGGGCACGAGGGCACGGAGCTGACACCTCTGGGTCCCAGCTGGAAGGCAGCGTGACCCCGGCTCCCCAGTTCATCCCAGTTTGGCAGTGCAGCCGGGGTGAGCAGCGTATGTCCGGGGTTCAGGTGCCTTCCTCGCTGCCTGTTGATCCAAAAGCAGGCGTGGAGCCCCGGCGTGCCCCGCACGGGCGAGGCAGAGGGCTGCTGCACAGCCAGGTGCTGTGTCTCTCCCTGCACCCATGTGTTATTCCATCGATGACTCACGTGTTATTAGCAGCCAAGCAATATTCCCAATTCCCTGGAGTTAACCCTTCACTCGTCACTCACAAAACCACGATGTCATAACAAACATCACCGGTATTATCTGCTTTAATTATATTGTATCTACCCAGCTCCGGGAGCATTAACAGCGACGGCGACTTGGAGCTGGGGAGATGCTCCACGGAGCGGTGGGGAGCAGGGTTATGAGGTGCTTGGGAAGTTGGGAGGCAGCTCCCTGCCCTGCCACCACTGTCCCGAGGGGCCTTGCTCACCCCCTTTCCTCCTGGCGTTCCCTTTATGGCATGGCCAGGAGGGGACACCGAAAAATTGGAGGAGCAGGGTGCTGGCAAACAGCAGGGATATTGGCAGGACTCAGATGAAAAAAAAAAAAAAGAAAAAAGAAAAAAATTTTTTAAAAAAAGAAGAAGAAGAAAAAAAAAGAGTTAAAAGTTGGGGGGCGGGGGGGAAGGAAAAAAGGATGTGGTTGGCTCCATGGGCACCCTGGGCTCCAGGGGGGTGCTGACCTGGACACAGCGATGAACCTGTGCCCTCCAGCCGGTGGGGAGGGGGTCTGCAGAGAGGGGCTGCGTGCCCAAACCCTGCCCCGCCGGGGAGGGGGCGCGCAGTGCGGGTGCCACCCGGGAGAGGGCAGCAATGCCCCGCGCATCCCGCCGGCACCTCGGGGAGCGGGGCCAGCCCGGGGGGGACCCTCCCCAGGGGTGTCCCCCCCGGAGTGTCCCCTCTCCGCGAGTGTCCCCCGCTCCCGGAGCGGCGCTCGGCGGCCGCGCTCCCGCTGTCGCCCCTCCCTGCGCGCTTCGCAGCGACTGGGAGGAGAAAGCGGGGGGGGAAGGAAGGAGGGGAAAAAAAAGAGGGGGGGGAAAGGAAGGACTACAAGGCCCGGCATGCCCCGGCGGTGCTGCACGGCTCCCCGGGGTGCCGGATGCTGGCCGTGCCGCTGACAGCGGAGCGGAGC